ACTGTGCATTAACATTATATGCTAATGCCCTGTTACCAACAATTTAAAGTGATTCTAGGTGATTGATTAATACAGAATTCAGGTCGATGTTTCATAAATGAATTTGCTGACAGACCCTGACTAGAAGTCTACATTTTACTTTCAAATTTAGGGTAATTTTTTAAAGGTGACAGACACAACCTGCCGGTAATATGTCTGCATTAGCAAAGAGCAGAAATATGACTTCTTTTCCTTTTTACATAATTGCCAGTCTGTTTGCTTTGTGATGTATACATTTAACTTTGCAGGGGGCCTAGAAATCCTCAAAGGGAAGTATGAGTCCGAGTAAAATATGTATTAAAACTCTCAAAATCATAACAAAGAAAAAGGGATTGGTAAATGACAGGGAAGTTTAAGGCTGCTCTTGATTGGATAGAAAGAAATATGAGATATAGATGTGGTAGGTATTAGCCCTCTAGTGCTGCATTTTAACACTGCAATCAGAAAAGTTATGACTGTTCAGACATCTGAATCCTCTTAGTGTGGTAGCAGGACTATGGTGGGTAGCACCTTCTCTGTAAGAAGATTGGAATTAAAGGAGGCAAAAGGGGGCACTACATTAATTACTATTTTATTGTTTCCGAAACGCACAGTATGTTGTTACAACATATCAGCATTAATACAGACATACAAAAATAATGTGGAATCGGTGCTTACTTTGTGTTGGGTCTTGTCTGGTCTGAGCCCTGACACCTCTAGGCTGAGCAGTACATAGCCCCAGCTCCTCTGGGCTTCAGACATCAGTTACAAAAATAGAAAAATTGCTTTAGTCCCAGCACCTAATTGCTTCATCCTGCCACCTCTGTCATTATAAATTGTGTGGCATATATAGTTGTTCCTACTGAAAAGAACATTCAAACAAAGTGCTGTTAAGCACGCGAATATAACTATTCTAGAATGGCTATGTTCTACAAATTTTTTTTATAGGAAAATGCAAATTTGCCAAGAATTAAAATTTGTGCCAATTCCAGAACAGTTTCCTAGATCCAGCATTGAATTTCAAGAGAGAGAGGGAGACCTTTTATCCCCAAATCAGGCAGGATAGATAGCTGAACCTGGGCCTCTCACTTCAATGTGCGGTGCTTTCTTTCAGGATCTTTCTTGTGCTCTCATGCAGTTTCAAAAGGTCTCTGCTTTTGTTTCTATCTAGCACAAAAACAAATTTTGAGATTTCAACTGACCAAAAAATGGAATGTATGTTTGTTTTCTGTTCAGTCCTGCTACATATACTTAAATAACAGTGAACAGCAAGATGAGTACCATAAAAGCATTCAGTTGGCAAGTATTTAATATTATTTACATGTTGTTGATTCCCCGGACATTTCAATTATCTTCTGGTTCTGATATTACCCTCACCACCATAGCTTCTGCATGTCTCTCAGCAATATGTTAAGCACTGTCACTAGCACATATGTGTGATCTGAGACGAAAAGGAGGTTACACTCCCCACCCCAAAAAGTGTTGAGTCACCAGCAACCAGCAAATATATTTTCAGAAGTAGATCTGTCTCAGGATCCCCTTTATAAAGATTGGAAAACTATGGCTCTCAGATCTTGCAACTATTTTCTCATGTGAGTAGTCAGATTTCAATGATCTAGATTGGCGATGGACTTATTGAGTGACTTATTGAGTCTAAATAGAGAAGTCTCATTTAGACTAGAGTTACTTAGGATGTGTCTAGACAGCAGGATTTTTTCAAAAAAAGAGGACTTTTTTCGAAAAAACTTCCCCTGCATCTAGACTGCCGCCGTGTTCTTTCAAAATTAAATTGAAAGAACGTGACAGTTTTTTCGACCGCAGTAAACCTCATTTTACGAGGAAGAACACCTTTTTTCAAAAGTGCTCTTTCAAAAAAAGGGCATACTTGAATGCAAACAGAACTTTTTTGAAAGAGAGCATCCAGACTACCTGGGTGCTCTCTTTTGAAAAAGTGGCTCGCTTTTTCAAAAGAAGTGGTTGCAGTCTAGACGCTTTCTTTCGAAAGAGTCTTTTTTGAAAAATTCTTTCTAAAAAGCCTCTTTCGAAAGAGGCTTGTAGTCTAGACGTAGCCTAAGTGTGATGTTAGATCAAATTACATAGGTGAATTTAATTAACATCTAAAATTGTTAAGACAAAAAACTTGGTATTACAGCTGATAGAAAAAACCTAGTATCTTTGCCCATTAGATAATGGTTTTACATTGAAATGACTTTTTTTGTCATCAATATCAAAATGAGATACTTAATTTCAGCTCCATAATCTCTCCCTCTGTTTGAACCAGTGAGGTCCTTTGTGGGAGTTGTCCTCTGAGTCCTCCATGCCCTTAATATTGCCCCGAACCATGTTCTTGAGCAAGATGATGTTCGGTGGTCTTTTCATGGTGGCTAAGCCTCTGTGGTCCCTTTTGGGATTCCTAAGGTTGTACTGGCTTCTATGGATCCTTAATTTCAGCTCCATAATCTCTCCCTCTGTTTGAACCAGTGAGGTCCTTTGTGGGAGTTGTCCTCTGAGTCCTCCATGCCCTTAATATTGCCCCGAACCATGTTCTTGAGCAAGATGATGTTCGGTGGTCTTTTCATGGTGGCTAAGCCTCTGTGGTCCCTTTTGGGATTCCTAAGGTTGTACTGGCTTCTATGGATCCATGAATTTACTCAGGATTATGAACAAAATATAGAAGAAAATGGAGAGATTGTCACAGCTTGGCCAAAAATGCTGATTCCCCCTCCTAATGTGAATAACTGAAAAGAGGCTGTAACATTTTTATTAGTAGTGAAGCGCATCTGTCATTTGCTAATTGTAGGTGGAAAGTTTCTTAGCAATGGAAAAGTCACAAACATTCACATTTAACTCTTTATCTTAGTCTTTCTGAGAGACACTTACCTACACATAAGGGCTAAGTCTACATTGCCCAGTCTTGTGCAAGAACATACGCAAATGAGGCACAGTGACGAATATCACCATTTTTGCACAACGGGCTTTTGCTAGTCTACACTGCTCCTTCTTGCACAAAACCCCCTTCTTGAGCAAGAGCTGTTCTGCCGCTTATTTTCAGGCATAAGGGATCTTGCACAAAAGGGGTTTTTTTGCATAGTGGGGTTATAGCTGTCCCAGTCCCCATCTCTGGCTACTTGCTGGCCCTCTGCGATCATTCTACAGTATAACTGTCCCTTCTATCAGACCTCTCCCTTACCATTTTATGAGAAACAGTTGCATTCCACATCTCATTGTCTTGTACAATCAAACCTTTATCTTGCTTTAAGTTATGATAAAAGGAAGCTGCATACCAAATTTGATGGTCCTAGCTCTTACTGTGTTGGAGGAGTTCTTGAACAAACAGACTCACAGACAGACAGATGCACATTTATAAAATGTATAATAAGAGGAGAAACTCCTTAAGTGATGCTGTCTCTGCCTAGAGAGTAATATGTGCAGTGATGGTGACACCTTGCTGGTAGAAGATCTTCAGAGTCCATTGTTATTGTTTCTTGCAACACCAAAAATTCTAAGTAGTGCAAACCACTGAAACATGGTAAGAAGAGGATGGGGATATTTAGGCCATGCTTTAAGGTTGCCACCAGCACAACTTCCAAGGCAACAAAAATGATTAGGGGGCTGGAGCACATGACTTATGAGGAGAGGCTGAGGGCTTTGGGCTTGTTGAGAAGAGAAGAGGAGGGGGTGATTTGATAGCAGCCTTTAATTATCTGAATGGAAGTTCCAATGAGGATGGAGAGATGTTGTTCTCAGATGTTGTTGACAGATGGCAGAACAAGGAGCAATGGTCTCCAGTTGCAGTGGGGGAAGTCTACATTGGATATTACAAAAAACTATTTCAGCAAGAGGGTGGTGAAGCACTGGAACGGGTTACACAGGGAAGGGATGGAATTTTCATCCCTAGAGGTTATGTCCTGGCTTGAAAAAGCCCTGTCTGGGATGATTTAGTTGGGGGTGGACTCGATCTCCTGAGATGTCTTCCAATTCTATGATCATATGTTTCTATGATTCTAATACTATGGAAACTACCTGGAAAAAGAAAGCACCTGGAAAAACAAAAAGTCAGTGACTCAGAAAAACATTTGGGAAAACAATAAAGAAGTCAGACCCTTCAACATGACACTCAGAATCGTGAACAGAACAGCACATGACTGCAGTAAAAGCAAGAAACTGGCAGATGTCTCATGGGTGAGAGCATAAAGAAAATGAGGAAAGCATTATAGGCCTATTCCCACTAGACCTGAAATTGCAGAAGCAACAGTCATATATACTTAAACAGGTTTTTCTGGTTTCCAGTTTTTTTCCTGCCATGTTTTTTCCTATTCAGCATAAACGCATCCTTGGATTAAAAAAAAAAAATCGTCATTTCATTCACCATTAAAATACAGAAATGCATTTTTGGAAAAATCACAGCCATCTTGAGATCACTCTATGAGTGAAGCAGGCCTGGCCAAACAGTGGATTCCTGCATTATTCTGTCTGATAGTGTCCTGTCTGAACACTTCAGGATGGTTCAGGGCTAACATCAGTCCTGTTAGCAAATACCACAGCTATTCCAAAGCAAAACATGTGACAGCCCTGGATCTTTGGCAGCAGCTTGACACAAAGGATAGGGAATCTGACTGAGCCCTAAAGGTAGCAAACCATGACCTTTGGGACTATGGATTATCCCAAAGGTTGGCGTAAGCTTGGATAGGTTGGACTGAGACTCAACCATTGTGTGTTGTGGACAGAGACAGCAGCTGCGAGAAAGTATAGGTGAATGTATTCATAGCTAAAATTCCTAACTTTTAGCTGCAAGGTTTGGGTGTTCCCTTTGAAAGCAAATCACAGCCTTCCAAAGTATGCTTATTAATAAAGGGAGGCAACAAAGATGCTATTGTTGTGCACACCCTTTAATAATAATATTCTGATGTAATAAGCTGGGGGGAAAATTCTATCTGATTTATTCTCTCTTTTCTTTCCTGCTTAATTTACATTACAGCTATCAACATTGTAACCATTAAGGCATCTGATTCTCATCTGTGCAGCAAGGGAGCTCTGGTAATCTCTTCTTTTTCCACAAATCCAACCTGCTTTTTGGTTAAATTTTGGAGATAGACTGATTGAACCAAGTCATTCAGAGACAATAGATTAATGTCTCAGAACAAACCTGTAACCCATTTTAATAGTTCCAGAGAGAGAGAGAGAGAGAGATTGTTGGTGCCTGTGAGATTCCTTCTGAAGGAATGAGGAGGTCTTTATTATTTTTAATGGGGAAGAAGAGAACTGGGGGAGGGAGGGAGTCTGCTGCTGCTATCTTTACTTAACCGAAAAATGGCATGAAGATCAGAAAACATGATAGTGCAGTAAGTACATAATAGACGTGGCTCTCGGAAGGTAAATGCTCTAGTGGTAGTTTTCAGATTTATTCTATGGAATTGAGCATTAGGATATACATGGTACTTTGAGCTCCATTCTGAAGGTATTTCCTGAGAATCTCCTGAGAATAGGGGTGCCAAATAATAGATAATTTATTATGTTTACTTTGCAATTGCAATGTTTTATATTTAATGTGGTTGACATAATCTTAGATTTATAACAGAAGTACATATACAAATCAGTTCATATGCGCATTCAGCAGGGGGAATGCCCTTAGACTAGAGAAGGGCTTTTCCTTTGTCCCACACAATTCCATTCATATTTTGATGAGATATAAACTGTTAAAAATTACCATTTCCCTTCTAGTTTGTGTATGGACATGGGGATGGGCTGAGATGAAATACTGGAAACTGCCACTTCCTAACGTTAACATAATGTTGTACACCTGAATATATGACTGTAAGCAGTTCCATTTAAGACTATTAACTTATGATTGTGATTATTTCTGTTACACTTTAATTTTACAGGATTATTCCAAGCCAATTAAATTTTAGAAATTGAAATTTGCTGAGGGAATGTGTTACAAAGCACGTGTTTCTGACACACTGAGCAAGCGCTTCTCAGTAGCACCTCATGACTTGAATAGTGGTATTGGTTTTCTTTAATTTTTGAAGAGTAGCATGTTTCTGCAGGGTGCTTGACAAAACGACATCGTGGCCAAACTGAAAGATTCAAGTACTTAAAAATGATGTAATTCAGATCACCTTGATGTGTTAAATGGAAGGTCTTATACAAGGATGAGGTCAAACAACTAAAATTCTAGCCCTAACATTTGTCTCCTGTTTGAGAACCTAAACACTGTCTTCTGCATCTGTGAATTGCAATTTTTCAAAGTCGCAATACCAAGATATGTGTTTATAGCACATATAAATAGGTGCATTGTTTTACACAGAACCAAGATGTGGCTGTTTATTATGGTAGCATGTTGGACACATGGAATTGAGAGTTCAGAAGAAACTACGAGAATGGTTGTGAATCCTGAAGCATTCATGAATATTGTGAGTTGCATATTATTACCGGAAAAGAGGTTGGGAGTAGGGAAATCTATTTTGAGTTGTATAACATACAAACAATTTTCTTCATTAACAGAGTGCCCTTTTAACCAAGACCCTTCCCCAACTTGGACATTATTTTCACACTTTCAAATGGCCTTGAGGTCTTTTGTTGAAAGCTATATTGGAATAATAAGTGAGACCTTATTAGAGAGAGCACTTTTTGTTTTCTCTGTAGTCCTACGGGTGGAAGAGACAAGTCAAGTTAATTGTGCCTTTATTTTGTTTTTTTGGGGGAGAGGATTAAATCAAAGTAATAGCTGTCAATTTCAAAGGAAATGTAGTTTTTTTCATGGGAATATTAAAGGCTGGGTTGCATGTCTGTGCAGTGGACTAAAAGGACATAAGAAGCCCCTGTACACTAACTACATTTTGGCTACGTCTACACTGGCCCCTCTTCCGGAAGGGGCATGTAAATTTCACCAGTCGTCGTAGGGAAATCCGCGGGGGATTTAAATATCCCCCGCGGCATTTAAATAAAAATGTCCGCCGCTTTTTTCCGGCTTTTAAAAAAGCCGGAAAAGAGCGTCTACACTGGCCCCGATCCTCCGGAAACAGCGCCCTTTTCCGGAGGCTCTTATTCTTACTTTTTTAAAAGCCGGAAAAAAGCGGCGGACATTTTTATTTAAATGCCGCGGGGGATATTTAAATCCCCCGCGGATTTCCCTACGACGACTGGTGAAATTTACATGCCCCTTCCGGAAAAGGGGCCAGTGTAGACGTAGCCATTGTGTCTAGGTATACAGGAGTAAGTAGAACTGTACACCTTCTTACTCCCTTCCTGGAGCAAGCCAGGGAGAGGAGAGGACTGGAGCCTTAATGTCACCCCTTACTGATTGGCAGCAGAGCTAGAGTGTGTTAGAAGTTACATTAATAGGCCAGCAGTAGATTACTATCCCCTGGGAGCAAGGGGTAAGGTACATTTCTGTAAATCACTGTTCCTTTCCTATGATTATACTGAAACATTATTATCCATTATGATTACATGTGTCCTAATATGAAGAGAACAGGTTTAGCCTGAAGAAAGTGTTGAGTAACCAGAGCAAGAAAGGGCTTTAAGTTCACTAAATTCTGTCTCCTAGATGAGGCAATAACTGATTTTGTTACCCACCCAGTTTAGCATATATGGTATATTAGGGTTTTTTCCCTCATTCCACAATAGCAGCTTTTAACTTCCTGAAGGGAGGTTCCCAAGAGGATGGAGAGAGGCTGTTCACAGTAGTGACAGATGGCAAAACAAGGAGCAATGGTCTCAAGTTACAGTGGGGGTGGTGTAGGTTGGATATTAGGAAAAATATTACACTAGGAGGGTGGTGAAATACTGGAATGGGTTACCTAGGAAGTGGTGGAACCTCTATCCTAAGAGGTTTTTAAGTCTCAGCTTGACAAAGCCCTGGCTGGGTTGATTTAGTTGGGATTGGTCCTGTCTTGGGCAGGGGGCTGGACGTGATGATCTCCTGAGGTCTCTTCCAGCTCTATGATTCTATACTCCATTACATCCCAGCTTAATATAAATTGCAAGTTTCCTTTCGGAACATGTTTTGTTTTGGTTTTTGACCAGCAAAAGACTAACTCATGTTCTTAGTTTCTTTTGAAGGCTTCATTATGAGTAGTCTGTTATATGACAAATGAATATCTCACCATTATGAAATGCAGTGTATATGAAGAGTCCAGTGTCTGTGATGGGTGCATATGAAGTGGCCTCTGTTAAATTTTAAATGAATTAACTAAAATTAATTAAACATAGAAATATATAGTGGCACCTGGATTACATCCAAGGCCATATTCACAACTGTAATGTGCCTAGTACAGTGACTCAGGGTACATCTAGACTGCATCCTTTATTGGGATGCTAGAAGTATTTTCTTCTGTTTCATGTCTCATCCTTAAGAGATTTGTTTAAATCCAGTTTTGTCTCTATATTTTTGAAGGTAAGCCAAGAGCTTTCCAGAAAACCTGATTCCTTCTTAATAGAAATATTCTTATGGTATAAGGCACGGATGGGCAAGATATGGCCCACAGGCCAGATCGAACCCACCAAGTTGTTTGATCCAGCCCGCAGCTCCCTCCCCTCACCAGGGGTGCATGACACATATAGGGAGTCACCAGCCATTTTGAACAGCGAATTCTTCACACCCTCCTTCTCCTCCGGCACCTGATTGGGGTGGGGGAACATGCAAAGTCTCTTCTCCTTGGCAGGGGGTGCGGCACCTAGAGGAAGCTGCCAGCTATTCAAAATAGATGGCGGTTCCCAGAAGGGCGGGAGTGGGAGATGAGACTGGCCTGGGAGGCAGGGGAGTGGGTGAAGTCTCCCTCTCCTTCCAGAGGCACACGGTGCCTGGAGGGAACCACCCCTTCTGCCAGATGCCCCACCCTTTCTGGGGGGGGAATGGAGCTGACCCGCGACCACTAGCAAATTTGTTGAAGTGGCCCCCCTGTAAAAATTATTGCCCACCCCTGCTATAAGGTATAAGAAAACACCACTTGAAATGAACAATGAGTTGTCCTAGTTTCAGTAATTCCTTGTTTGGACGGGTTGCATGTACACTGATTTGTTTACAGATTGTGTCAAAAATTCACAAGAGCAAACTATTCTATAAAACACCTTTGTTTTCTTTCCTGCAGAGTGAGATTATTCGCTACAGAGGATATCCAAGTGAGGAGTATGAAATTATGACAGACGATGGCTATTACCTTAGCATCAACAGGATTCCAGTTGACACAGGAAATCGTAGAAACTCAAGTATGGCTCTGTTTTATTAAATCAGGAGGGTCTAGATAATCTCCATCAAAGAGTATTATAGAAGCTGCCACATGAAATTGCAAAATACAATTGCAAGGATTTTTTCAATGATTCTGTAAACTCAGCTCTATGACTGAAGAATTGCTAATATAGTACTTATTTTTAAGAAAGGAACAAAAAGTGGTCTGGAAACTACAGGCCTGTCAATTTGCCCTCAACTGAATGCAAAGGAACACTTTTGAAAGAGATAGAAGTTAAAGACACAGAGGTAAACAGCAAATGGGATAAAATACAACATGGTTTTACAAAAGTAAATTGTGCTAAACTTGCCTATTTTTCTCCTTTGAGAAGATAACTGATTTTTAATAAAAGGAAATAGAGCTTATCTACTTGGACTTCAGTGAGGCATTTGATACAGTTCTTCATGGAAAATTATTAAAGTTGAGAAGGTGGGGATTAATATGACAATGGAAAGATAAGTAAGAAACTGATTAAAGGGGAGACCGCAGTGGATCATGCTGAGAGTTGAACTGTCAGGCTGGAGGGAGGTTACTAGTGGAGTTAGAATCAGAGAACACTAGAACTGGAAAGGACCTCAAGAGGTCATTGAGTCAAGTCTCCTGCCCTCATGGCAGCACCCAGTACCGTCTAGACCATCCCTGATAGATGACTGTCTAGCCTGTTCTTAAATATCTCCAGAGATGGAGATTCCACAACCTCCCTAGGCAACTTATTCCAGTGTTTAACCACCCTGACAGTTAGGAAGTTTTTCTTAATGTCCAGCCTAAACCCAGTTTAAGCCCATTGTTCCTCAGGAATCAACCTTGGGACCATTTTATTTAACATTTCTGTTAATACGTTGGCATGAAAAGTGGGGGTGTGTTAAAATCTGCAGATGACACAAAATTGAGAAATATTGCTAATGGGGGGAAGGCTAAACAATCATACAAGAAGTTCTGGAGGCTCCTGAAATTTCAGTAATAGAAATGGAATGAAACTGAATAGTTCAAAGCACAACATAACACACTAAGGCCTGGTCTACACTACAGCTGAAGGTTGGCTTAAGATACGCCATCCAGCTACACAAAATGCACAGGTGGAGTTGTCATGCTCCCATCGATCTCCCGCTGTGTGGACAGTGTGCAAACACTGCCACTGGCTTCCCTTACTTCTTATAAGGAGCAGGAGTGCCAGCATCAACAGGAGTGACCTTTGAATGTGATCTAGCACGTCTATACTACACCCGCTAATTGAACCCGGGAAGATTGACAGCAGCAGCAGCAATCTTCCGCATAGTGTAGACATAGCCTTAGAGATGAACAGCATGAATTTTTGCTGTAAAATGGGGACTTATCGATGGGAAGCTTCAAAAGAGGAGAAAACCCAAGGTATATTGGTTGATCACAAGATGACTACAAGCCACCTATGTGGCGTGGCAGTAAAAAAGGCTAATGCAGTCCAGGATGCATCAAATAAGGAATTTCCAGTAGAAAAAGAGAAGTGTTAGTGCCATTTTACAACGCTCTAGTGAGAATTCATCTGGAATACTGTGTGTATTTCTGGTATCCTATATTTAAGAAAGCTGATTTCAAACTGGGAGAGGTGCAGAGAAGAGCTATTAGGATGGTCCAAGGAATGGACAACCTACTTTATGCGTGGAGACTCAGAGAGTTTGGCTTCTTTTCCCTAACCAAAAGAAGGCGGATAGGATTGTAGGGTGATCAGATATTCCAAATGTTTAGGAATAGTCCCATTATTCAGAGTTTTCTAGGCACTCACTGAAATTCCCTTCCCTCCCCTCCCCCTGCCATCCTGATTTTTCACACTTGCTGTCTGGTCACTCTATATGACAGCTCTCTATGAATACACTGGAGGGATAAATACCAGGGAGAGAGAAGACCTATTTAAGTTAAGCACAAGAACAAATGGATATAAACTGGCCATGAATAACTAGATGAAAGTTTTTAACCATCAGAGGAGTGAAGCTGTGGAACAGCCTTCTAAAGGGAGCAGTGGGGACAAAAACAAAACACCTAAATGGCTTCAAGACTCAGCTTGATAAGATTATGGAGAGAATGTTATGCTGATACTGCCTATTTGCAACTGCTAGTCACAAATATCTCCAATGGTCATGACATTGTGAAAGAAATCCAAGGAGAGGGGTCAAATATTATTTTACTAGCTGGACTTACCCAGCGTTGCTCGGGAAACCAGAGGAACAAAATTTAGGAAATTTAGGAAAGGAGGGGATCCTGAGCCAGGGGATCCCCTGGGTCACACGGAGGGGATCCTGAGCCAGGGGACCCCCTGGGTCACAGACCCTGGGGGCTGATGGCTCCTGGCCCACACCTGACCTTCTGAGAGCAGCAGGACCCTCCTCCCCCAAGGACTGAGCAGCCAGCCCCCAGGAGAACAGTACACAGTCATGCGGCCAGTAGCAAGAGGATTTCTCTTTGCAAGGCTGGCTCAGGGATCCACCTGCCCTGCCTTGGCAAGCAAAAGCTCAGAGCTCACATCTAACCCAGAAGGCTGGAACCAGACACAGAAGAGCCCCACTCACAGTACGAACAGCAGCCGGCTGGCTTCACAGCAGTGTAATGCATTGAGGGTTTAACCCAGCCCCTCCGCCCTGGGCTGCAGCATGCACACGGATTCCTTCTGCTTGGATAAGCCCAGCGAGCTGAGCAGAAAGGCTGGCCAGCTTTGGTTTTTGTTTCCGGAGGGGGGAGTAGCAGGTGTGGAGCGACCCTGGGTGAAGGGAAGGTTACACGCGGGAGGAGCGCCTCAGCTCGCGCCCAGGACTGCAGGTGCCACGGGGGGCAGGGGGGGTGCCTGAGCCATTGTGTGCATGGGGGTGGGGCACTGCATGCCGGTGGGGTGGGCAGAAGAGGATCAATTATGTAACCTCACGGGTGGGAGGGGGTGAGTCCCAGGAGGCTACACACAGGAGAGGCGCCCCAGCTCACGCCCGGGTCAACCCATGCAAAGTTTGGCTGCTGTAGCTCTTATAGTGTCCAAGTTATTAGTGCACAAACTTACAAACATTCTCCTTTATATATTAGATAGGGTGGTACTTGGACAGATGTGGTGGAAGAAATTCAGATTCTCTGTCTATATGGGACACAGGTTGGCAGTTAGGGAGGTGGTGGGCAAAGGGCAGGGAAGAGTGGAGCGCTGTCTGTGTGGGGCACAGAGTGAGATTTAAGGAAGTGGCGCATGAGGGGTGGGGAGGAGCGGGGCGCTGTCTGTATGGTGCACAGGCTGGCAGTTAAGGAGGTGGCGCGGAAGGCGGAGGTGGTGGGGAAGGGTGGGGAGGAGAGGGGCACTGTCTGTATGGTGCACAGGCTGGCAGTTAAGGAGGTGGCGCGGAAGGCGGGGTGGCAGCGTGCAAAAGAGCCAACCCTTCTCCCCCTCCCTCCTTCTCTCTCCCCGCCTTCTGTCTGGCCCAGCACCGGTTTTAACTGTCAGCGCCCTTTTCCACTAGTCCGAACTACCTAGTCCGTGCCGCGTGTAGCCGTGCGGCACGGGGTTCGAACAAGCCGGGATTTAAAAATGGCGGCGCCCGGCTTATGCAAATGAAGCCCGGGAAATTCAAATCCCGGGCTTCATTTGCAAGTGCGGTATGCCTACATTACCCCGCTAGTTCGAACTAGGAGGTTAGTGTAGACATACCCCCTGCTAGCAGAGACCTCCCTTTTTCTTTTATAAGAAACAATCGCATTCCAGGCACATTCCATTGTCCTGGCACAACCAAACTCTGATCTTGCTTTAAGTTATGATAAGAGGAAGCTGCATACCAAATTTGGTGGACCTAGCTCTTAACGTTTAGGAGTTTTTGAACACTCTGAAATATGGACAGATATATGGTAGATTAGAGAGATTCTGCATTTGTTAAATAATCCATGTCTTTCTTTCTCAGGTCTGAAGCCTGTTCTTCTCCAGCATGGCTTAGTTTCAGAGGGAACCACTTGGATTACAAATATGGTCAACAGCAGCCTGGGCTTCATCCTAGCTGATGCTGGATATGATGTTTGGATTGGAAATAATAGAGCAAACTACTGGGCAAGAAAACACCACAACTTTACAGCTGACCAGGAGGAATTTTCAGATTACAGGTACCTTAAACCTAATGGCAGAAAGACTTTTTAAAAAAATCTTAATTTTTCCTATTTAAGTGATTTTCTATTTATAAACAAATGGTTCAGACTTACTGGTGAAGTCCAGCTTGTTTGCACTGCTCTGTTTGTGATACAACTTAATCATAATGCATTTTAAGGAGGCAGTGACTGTTTCTACTATTATGCCAGCCATCTAATTCAACTGACAATCTTATACCACTTAAACTTAATGATCCTTCATCATTTATTGTGCTGTGCACATCTCCTGGTGTTCAAGTGTGGGAATTTCAAAGGGTATGTCTACACTACAAAGTTAATTCGAACTAACGGACGTTAGTTCGAATTAACTTTGATAGGCACTACACTAGCGCTCCACTAGTTCGAACTTAATTCGAACTAGTGGAGCGCTTAGTTCGAACTAGGTAAACCTCATTGTACGAGGACTAAGCCTAGTTCGAACTTACTAGTTCGAATTAAGGGGTGTGTAGCCCCTTAATTCGAACTAGTGGGAGGCTAGCCCTCCCCAGCTTTCCCTGGTGGCCACTCTGGCCAACACCAGGGAAACTCTATTGCCCCCCTCCCGGCCCCGGACCCCTTAAAGGGGCACGGGCTGGCTACGGTGTCAGTGCCAGGTGCAAGCCTACCAGCACCCAGCCAGCAGACCCTGCACCTGGCACGGCTCCAGCCAGCCACCCGATGCCCCCCAGCCCCCCCCCTCTTCCTGGGACCAGGCTGGCGGGCCCCAGGAGCCTGCCCAGGGACGCACCAGGCGG